TTTTAAGGTGTTTTTTCTTAGTTAATGTGTGTTTCAAAAGGAGAAGCTTGCATGCGCTTCTCCTGATCTTATTTTCAAAATGGGAGAACGAACGTGCTTCCTCCTGTAGACAAACTGCTGCAGAAAGTTCATGCATGGCTGCATGCGCGCTCGAGCCTTCAAGGCAGCGCCTCGATCCAAACAGCTCCTTTTTTTCTCACACAGCTGGCACATCGTGTCGACCTGCAAACCGGCACAATACATTCTCGGCGGTTGAAGTCACAGACTTTGGCCCTCCCCTCCTCCTCCCCATCAGGGCCAGAGCCCCTCCAAAATCCTCATCCCGATATGTCCACGTCAAACTGGGATTGGAGGCAGCCATCTCGCACATTTCTTGGAACAAATGCAATTTTGGTTTCAGCATCCACTGCGCGTGATCAGAGTCATGGACCAAAGCTGCGTACAAAGTGCAAAATTTCCGACAATGTTCTTTCAGTACTGCTATGGAAAAATTCTGATGATCCAAGCATTCATAGCATCGCGACAGGTGCCCAGCTGCCGCCTTCAAACTTGACTCCCACACATTGTCATCCCTGCAGTACTCTTGGGCCAGGAAGTTGACAAAAGGCACAGTCGCCCTGACTTGAGCCGCTCCCCCTCTGAGCTTGGGGGGTTTGCTGGCTTTCTTCTGCAGCATGGTGGCGGTGAGGTTGGCAAGCCTGTCCTTGGTGCCATTGTCCTTGTACCATGTCTGGAGCTTCAAAAATAAATCTCTGCATTGCTCGTCTTTGTTGGTGCCTCGCATCTTTGGTAGCAAGGAAGAAAGAAAACTCCCACAAAAGTCTGCTGCAACTCCTTTGTCCACTGCGTGCAACCAATCGATTTGAAAAATAGAAATATCAACAAACGGGCAGCCCATGATAGGAGAGGTTGATCTCTCAAGTTCTGCTTGCCTCGTCATAAACTGCCAATGGGAAAGGCGGTGCTGCGGCATCCTCCAAAATGCTTGGTCATCACAGAGATGGATGCGGTCAGGAGTCATGGTGCACCTCCAACAGCAGCCGCTCAATTCTTTCCAGCCGGGCAGCCTGAACAATTCCTTGTAGCAAGCCCAGTCGCCGCGAACCTCAGCAAGGATTGCCCTGACATACTTGACATAGAGGGTTTGGCCAGCCAGCTTCTTCCTCACCGCATCTTTGACGGTAAAAGGAGACCCGTCGTGTCTCCTGCTGGGGTATACGCCAGAAAATAAAATCTCAAAACTCCACTTCAGAATATTGAAGATACAGTCAAAGGTGGCGTGCTTGATCACCAAAAGATTTGTCAATGACCGTGATCGGCAGCCGCATGTTCTTCCATTCTGGGACGCCTGGGAAATTTAAGGCAACAACTTCCAGCGAAGAACTCTTGTCCCAGTTGTAAGGGACGCCGTCGCACCACAGACCGCAACCCAATAGGGTGGCTCCAGCCTGAGCTTCCACCTTGGTCACGTGGGCAGCCGTGTCAACGGACATTCCGCCTTTGTCCAAAAAATTCTCCAACGAAGACCACTTCGCAATATAACCCACCAGCTCATGTGGCAACCACATAGGCAAGAGCTTGTGAACTGCTGCCTTCTTTTTGGGGTCCCAGACCTCAACAGATACAAAATAGGGCTTGGGCCAATTGGAATATCTCACAAGTTTCCTTTGCAAGTCCCGCTTATGATGCCCAGCGGATGGCTTAAAAAAATGCAAATCTCCAGTGTGCGCACTGCCGGCTGCCTCTGCATCCTGTAGCAAGCTGGACGCTCGCTCTGCGCTGACTTGGTTGGTAAAATACAAATCCTCAATGTTGGTTCTCAGCCTCTTCTCTTTGGGCTGGTCAGAATATTTTGGAAGGCTTCTTTTGGAAAACATGGACTCTACCATCCACAAGCAATTGCAAAACCAAAGGGCCAGCATCCATTTGGCAAGGCAAGCCATTTTGCTAACTCAGAAGGCGTCAAGGGTGCAAGTTTGAGCCGAGAAGCTTTAGAGCCTCACATGCGCAAGCGTGATCAGAAAAGCAAGCTCCGAAGGCACTTCTTTTGCGCACAAAAAAACTGTGCTCAATTGCGCCTTTAGTGAGGCACAAAGAGAACCCATTGCGCAAACTAGCACTCACTAGTTCTCAGCAGTCAAGAGCTGGGCCTTCTTCTTCCAAGTCTTTGCCGCGTCCAAAAGGACGTCCAAATCGGCGCTTTTGTCCTCAATGGATCTGCACTGCTCGGCCGTGCGCTGGTCGGTAGGCCGATCTTTGTGGGCGAGCAATGTCTCTCGGACACTCTTGACCTCCTGGTTCAGCTTTTGCACAGAACGCTGGCCTGCAAAGTCTCCCCCTTGTCCTTGAGCCATTCCTTCTTGGGGTCTTTCCCCTTCTGAAGCAAGCAAGCAGCCAGGTCCTCCAAGGCGGGAAGCACTTTTTCTATAGCCTGCTTTCCACTGGAGAGAACCTGGAGGGCCTGATCCAGCCTCTGCTTCAAGGGGTTCTCCATCTTCACCTGGACCTGCCCCTTGTCTTGCAAGGCCAAGGCGTCACCCAGCCCGGCTGTGGAGGTTGTCTGCCTGGTGGCTGCAAGGCTTTCACTGTTCTTCAAGGTGTGGTTCTCCACCTTGAGGTCTTTGAAGCCCTCGACGTGGTACCGGGCGAGGCCAGCCTTCTTGAAGCCACGCTCAATGGGATTCTCCTCGTACCAGTCGTGGTCGGACTTCAGGGTGGTGCTGAAATCCTCAAACTCCTTGGACTCCACTGGCAGCTTCACCAAGTCTGCCAGCTGGAACCTAGGCAAGGGGTGGCAAGCCAACATAATATTTACAAAAAGACCGGTTGGTGATCCAAAGTGAGAATGCGGCTGGAATGCCAAGAAACTTGTTCAAGTAGCCATCCTTCGTGTCCAAGCTGCTGCTGTTGGTCTCTTCGATGGTTTCCTGGTGGACCACCATCCACTTGCAGGACTTGTCCAACTTGAATTTACTCAGCAGCCCCTGCTTCTCCTTGCAACTGTGCGGCAAGGCCCGCCACTCAGTCAAGAAAGCCTGCTTGTGGTGGTCACCCATCTTCGCACCATAGGAGAGGTTGGCCAGCATACCACTCACCTCCTTCTTGTCCATGCCTTGCCCTTCAGACTTGGGCTTGGACTTGGCCACAGCCCTTTTGGCGGTTGCCTTCTTCTTCTGTGGGGATGGCTTTGTTTTGGCAGTTTTGGGAGCCATGATTGAAAGTAAGCTACCAGAAGCAAGGCCCAGACCACTGCTTGATCCAAACTATCCATGTGATCAAACCAAAACAAGCCTGTGTGAATGAAAAAAATGTTGGTGCAAAAAATGCATTTTTGAGCTCAGACCTCGCGATCCTCATCCCCACGTCTGTGGACATGGGTTTCCTTCAGAAAAATGAAGGGGCACCATCCTCATGAACAATTTGACTTTCAACCACTGGAAAAATTACCCAAGGCACACGGGTCTGCTCAAGCAAGCATGGTCAATGGCAAACTCCAGTCACCAAAAATAAGGTTGGCAAGTTTCAAGGAAATATCTCAACCTCAATCAACCCTCCTAAGTTTAAAAAAGTTAAAAATTTAAACTTTTTTAACTTTTTTAAACTTTGATTTCTTTATGATTCTAGTAAAGAAATCAAAGTTTAAAAAAAGCTAAAAAAGTTTAAATTTTTAACTTTTTTTTAACCTTCTCCCTTGTACCCCAAAGGCTTCCCAGGTGGTCATATATGATCTGCATGGACAACTGCAATCTCATGGCTAGGTATCCCTAGCTTTCTTCTTCAAAAGCACCTTGGCTGCCCGATGGCTGCAAAATCCAGTGGCTCCCAAATGAGCAACAAGGGCATCATGTAGATCAAACAAGAAGCATCTATGTGAAAAGGAGGCCCCTTGATGCCTCCTGAAGGTAACAATGCGTGTATATGAAAAGGAGGCCTCAATGATGCCTCCTGAAGGTAACAATGCGTGGACCTCGCCTTCAAACCTGAACTCCTGAACTAGCCGACTGGTGCCTGGGAAGCACAGATGCCATCCAAACAAGATGTGCTGACACACCCGGCAATGAAAATCAGCGCATTGCGTGGTGCAAGGCCAGCTCCAAATGCAAACTCTCTTCACTCTGTGTCCTTCCCCCCTTCCTGCACCAAGTGCAACCAAGCCTTCAACTGCAAAACCCTCAAGAATGACCAAGCTGACATATTTCCCACCTTGTCATACTGTACTCCAGCCTGACACCAGCAAGGTATAACCAGACAGATCCCTAAACACTGGCTACGTGCAAAAATGATATCCAACACATTCTAAGTGCAACATTCCCAAAAACACAAGCAACAACATCTTAACCTTACTGGTTATCCTTTCCATCCTCCTGCTTGTCCACCCCATCAGGCGGCATAGCCGCCGTGGGGGGCATCTGGGGGAAAGGAGGCACCGGAGGGAACGCTGGCTTAGGGACAGGCTGAGCAGGCTGGATAGGCTGAGCAGGCTGGGCAGGTGGGCCTGGAAGCCCCATCTGCGGGACGCCGCCAGAAATCATGGCAGCAATCTGCTGTGCCAGTTGCTGCTGCTCTGGCCCAAGAGCGCCAATATTGATATTGGTGACATTCACAGTGATGATGGGACTAGCCTTTGGCACAGTCCCACCAGCTTTGGCCATAGGCCAGAAACCGGGAGGATACATTAGCCCCGACGGCAACCCTGGATTCCCTGGGCCCCTAAAGGCAGCAGGGATGCTTGCACCACCCTGCGGCTGGCCTCCTCCAGCGCCTCCTCCAGAATGTACACGGGCGCAAGCCTGGCAAAAGGCAAAAAAAAAGCTTCGACTGAACCACAAGTTAAAAATAAAAATGAAAATCCAGCGTAAAAAAATGCAACACAGAGCAACTAATTTTGGCACGCTGCCTTCAAAGCCACAGCGTACTGGGTCCCAGATTGGCTTGTAGAAGTGGGGGGCTCGCTCGAAGACGGTGGCCTGGCTGAAGTTGCAGCCCCGCGTGTCGCCCTCCGAGCCCAGAACACCTTCCTCTTCAAGCCCTTGTTCTTGGACTTCCGGACGCGCTTGCCATGGGTCTTGTGCACTGCGGCCAGAGCCTTTTTGGCAGCCGCCATGGCCAAGGACTTTTTCTTCCTTGAGGCCACGATGCACTTGACCATGCCCTGCTTGTCGCCAGTCCAGGATTTCTTGGCGGACTTGCCCTTTTGCCAGTAGGCCCAGTCCTTGCGGTGGACATAGTAGAGGGCCTGGGCGTGTGACAAGCAAAAACAACAAATGAAAACACGGAATGCAACAACAAAACTTAAGGAGACCAAATTCTGTCTCCTGTTACATGATTCATACGTACATATGCTGAAACAAGGGGCGCAGGCTGGATTACAGCATCCACCTTTCCTCAAATACGACCGGCAATGGCACTTCAGGCACTCCCGCAAGAACTCAGGGTTCTCCCCACCTGGTCCTCAACAAAGCTCTGCTCCTCCTCCTCGCCCTCCAAGAGCAGGCTTGGAGGAGGCGAAGGTGGCGGCATCTTCGGGGGAGTGCTGGGGCCATCCGCCATGGCTTAGAAAGCAGCGTAGAAAACAGCGGTCAAAAAAACGTGTTTTTTTGAGCCAAGCTAAAAACCCACAGCAAGGATGCAGACTGACGGGTCCAGCGCATGCTCTACCCACATCTGTGAAAGTTTGTGGCCGAGAAAACAAATATCGTGCACCATGAAATGTTCACAGGCAACTACTGCAAGCAAGGTGGCGCCTACTGTTTCCCTCCCCCCTCAAAAAAAAGCAAGCCAAGGAACCGCGCCAAGCCCCAAGCAAACAGAAGCACGCGAACCACAAAGAGCGTTGTTTTACATCTGCGATCTGGCCCACTGCTTGACCTGGTCTTCACTTTGCCCGGCATGGAGCCTGGCAACTGCCTGATCAGCAATGTCTGAAACTTGGTCTTTTGACAGCGTGTGGCTCTTTAGTTGGAAAATTTGTGACTTCGCAAAAAACTTTTGCCTTATGGCAAAAGCGCCTGACGCCTTGTAAAACATTTTGCTGTATTCGTTCTTGCGATGCGGCTCTGAGCCTTCAGAGTTCGAGTGCTCAGCTGCCCTCTCCTCAGCTTCAGGCATGGACGGTGCTGCAGCTGGCCTTTTCAAGGCAGCCGCTGGCTTTTTAAAAGCGCCAGTGGTGGGAGGAAGTGGCCCCTTCTTCAGTAACAAGTTAGGAACCTCAGTGGGCACTGTGGCCCCATCCACTTTTGCCACTGCAAAGCCTTCAGGGCCAACTTCTAAGGGATAGCGCTGGGCGTCTTTGCCAGCATGCGCTCTGACCAGCTCCAACGTGGAGTTGTCAACATACACAGCAACCTTGTCGTTGGACTGCCTGGAGCTGCTAGCAGCCTCAGAGCCTGGCAAGGGGCCTTCTTGACTACTTGCCACCTGCACTGAAGAATCTATTGACACTGCAGGCGAAAAAACAAGCAAAGGCTTGCTAGTCAAGCCAAGCTCCAAAAAAATTGACTCCCTAGTCCGGGGAGGAGACCGGCTCCTCTTCTTGCTAGAAGCAGAAGCTTCCTGCGCGCTGCTCATGGCAGGTGCTTCTACTGGGCTGCTAGCTCTTGCGCTGGCAGGGGACACCTCATTGGCACCTGCCTTGCCCTTAAGGGCAAGGATGACCTTCCTAACTGCTGAGTGCAGCTTCTTCCCGCTCTGAGCACTTTTCTCTTTTTGCCTGCAGTAAGAAATGCTTTTGCACATCCTGCCAGCAAAGGCATCCGCAGTCTCTGGAGAAACTGCAAACACACTGGAAGCAGCAGCTTTCAAAATGCTTTGGGTGGGCCTTGCTGTCACCTTAAGCAAGTCGATCAAAAAATCTTCGTAGCTGGCCACTACCAAATCCATCTCCACTTGCTGGAAAAGCTTTGGGTCGAGGCAGGTCAAATTGGCCCGTAGCACCTTGCCCACGGCCTTCTTGTCGGCAGTGTTTTTAGCTCGAGCCATTGCACGGATCAAAGCTTGAGCTCCAAAACGGCTGCCAAGATGTCAAATAGTCACCCGAGCTCCAAGACACGCATGCCACTACCCGAAAGGGAATGCTTCAAAGATCTGCTAACTCATGTAAAAAGGAGGCGGCTGCCTCCTGCTCAAAAAAGTGTAAAAAAACAGACCTTAATTAAGGAAAACAAACCTTAAAAAAACACACCCTAAATAAGGAAAAACACCTTAATTAAGGTAGTAAAAAAAGACCTTAATTAAGATAAGGTCTTTTGGGAGGTGAGGGTGGTGTACGTCAGCGCGGCCGACAACGACTACGTGGGCGTCACCGGCACCTTCCTCGGCACGCCCTCGCAGGGTGTCTGGAGCACGGCGCGCCTGGACTTCTCGGTGCCGCCGGGCGGAGTCGCAAAGCTGCACTTCGGAGCCTTCGGTGGCTCGATCTCCGGGCTGGTGCAGCAGTCGGCGGGCACGCTGGACCTGTACAGCCTGCAGATCAGGGCCAGCGCCTTCCCCAAATCTTCCAAAAGTGTTTATTTAACAGAACCATGCTTAAATCATCGATGTTCGTTGGAAAACATTGTTTATTTAAACACTTTTCGCTTAAATAAGCATTGTTTCATGGTAACATTGCTTAATTAAGGACTTTTGCGGTCTTAATTAATCATTGTGCCGCTTAAATAAGCAATCATTGCTTAAATCGTGTTGATATATAAAAATGTCAAAATGCTTAAATAAGCAATGTTTTTTAAGCAATGTTTTCAGCATGATCACGCGCACGCATGTATATCGATCGATCATATTTTTTAATTTCAATGTTACAGCAGGCATGCAAGAATAATGAATTGTGAGCTGTGTTCTTGTCGATTTTTTTGTGTTGTAACATGCAGCTGCGTGGAATCACGCGCAGGAATTCATGCGCACCATGCCTGTGCTTCATGACGCCTGGGCGTATACATGCGTGCGAAATTGCAGCTGTTTTGAGAGACCAAGATCAATTTAGCCATGGCCAAAGTTCGTGCTAAGAACACTGCCACTGCCAAAGACATGATGGGTTGCTTTGTCCTGTGGAGTCGAGAGATTGATGTGGAGAGCTTCAGATTGTCAGAGCAGCAGGTCATAGTCCAAAATGAAAGGCTTTTCTCTGAACTCCTTGAGAAGACGGTCAGGCCAGGACAGAAGGAAGTGCAGCAGGGTCTGAGTATGGCCTATCAGATTGGTGTGGACGAAGCCAAGGCTATTTCCAAAAGTATCTGCAATGCGTTCAAGTTTGCTCGAAGCAAAATCCAAAGCTGTTCCAGTGGAAAGAAATTGGAGCCTGCAGTGTGGAAGTTTGTGCAGAGGCTGAAGACTCTTTTTGCCAGCAGCTCTAGCCCCAGCTCTCGCAGATCTCTTGATCTCGAAGGTAGTCGACCTTCTGTTGAGGAGGAGGTGGCTCTTAAGAGAAAGCTTGAGTTCGGCGCACCATCCAAGACCGAAGATGAAATCCTTGCTATATATGCAGCGGGCAGCGCCAATGCAAAGAGCATGGATGCCAATGTTGCCATGACAGGATCCTCTCGAGATGCTATTTCCATATCTGAGTCGCCAAGCGTAGTGGAGTCATCTTCAGAAACAGAAGCTTTCCAGAAAAAGCCGGGCACAGCGAAGCCTTATTTTGACCCAGCAGAAGGGTGCTACATCCGGTTGGCTGAAGAGGGCAAGGTTTCGAGGGGAGTGTTGGAAAAGGGGCCTGCCGGTTTTTGCTTGGTTAGATTCGAAGATGAGGAGCCCTTTCCATCTGAAGTGCCCAACTTGTGGCTTGCTCCGCAGGCTGCAGAGTCAGGGCCCAAGCTCAAGAGGGTTCGAGCCACTGGCAAGGGCAAGGGCAAAGGCAAGGGCAAGTCGACCAAGGGCTCTGTTGCTGCATCAGCTCCTGAAAAAGCTGCAGCAGATTTTGAAGGCAATCCCGGGCAGGAAGCTGGCCCTGTGGAGGGCCGCGCAGCAGAGCCTATTCCTGCTGAGACTTCCTCAGCTTCCAAGAAGATTTTGTTTGGAGTGCATGACATCACTGGTTTGCCTGTGGAAGCACAGCCTCCAGAGGGCTGCAAGGGGCAGCATTCGTACACAGTGAAGCTTGATGATGGAGCTATTTCCATCGACGTCCTGTGTAGAAGCAAGGGCTTTTTCGTGAAGAAGCCTGAAAAATGCAGAGCTCAGTTTTCTTGGAGTCTCTATGACAAGCCGGCAGATGCTTGGTATGCTTGCGTTGGAGCATGCAGAGATCATTTGGCGAAGCAGAAGCCGAAGGCAGCAAAGACTTTGAACTGAGAGGCCTTTGTCGCTTTGTGGGCAGAAAAGGTTTTCTTGCTATGCATGTATGCAATTGTTCAGTCCATTTGCTTGATTTTGGTTGCATGCAAGGTTTTCTTGGATTTTTGAAGCGTGAGTTGCTGCAGCAATTTTGGCCATTTGTGCCGGTTTGCTTGTTTTGCCAGGGCCTCAGAAGTGAGAGTGTGGAGCTAGCTTTCGTGTTGCCAGGGCCTCAGATACTCCAGAGTGACTGATGAGACAGATGGCTCACCTGTGCACATGCAGTGGTGTATAATTTGCTCCTTGGTAGGATGCAGTTGGTGAGTGCAGCGGTGTATAATTTGCTCCTTGGTAGGATGCAGTTGATGCTCCTTGGTAGGATGCGTTGCTGTTCATGCCAGAGTCATGCTTGTCGCAGTTGTGGGAGATCCCATGTCTTCACAGGACTCTGATGTGTTGATCTGAGGTTTGGGCAGCGGGCGGCTGCATGCACTGTTGCCTATCGTGTTTGAGGCTGCGTGGGCGCACATTCTGCATGGAAGGAATTTGTCTTGAAAGCACTTGGCATTGAAGCAGCGTGCTGCATGTTGCTGATCATCTTTCAAGAGGTCTTGGATGCAAGCAGCAAACGTTGCAAGTCCCGCTGCTCCCGGGCAGGAAGCTAGACAGAAAGCAAAGGATTAGGCAAACATTGAAAATACCATTTTGAGTGGCAGCAGCAATTCGGCGCCATGGCACTTTCCAAGCCCATGGCCGGCGAGGCCCTGCAAGATCTGAGGATCTGTCCCCAATGTGGAACAAAATCCTACATCAGGAAGAAGATTTGCATCAATATGTTTTGCAAAAGCTACTTCATGAGGCAGGCCCCGAACACCAATCTGTGGGTCAGAGGCCCGATCAATGCAGTCTCGAGCCCCAAGCACTGGGACTGGCAGAGCTGGAAAAAGGCTGGGTATGCTGACGGGGTATACCAAGCCCATTTGCAAGCAGAGCTGGACGAGATTGAAGAAGAAGAAGATGAATCCAGCCCTGTGTATGGGCTGAAAGAGGGCACTGCTGTTATCACAGAAGTGGCTTCATCAGATGAATAGCACATTTTCATATTCTTTTATTACTTTCGTTTCCTTTTTTTTCGTTCTTTATCATTATCTTCATCTTATTTTATTATATTTATTTTATGATTATTTGATGACGTGAGGAATCTCCTTTCCATTTCTAGCTTTTATTGCTATTCTTTTCATGTTGATTGGGAAATAGTAAGGAAATAACGTGACTTAGAGATAAGAAGACTCAGGTTGTCCACCAATTCACTATCTCTCTATCATTATCCTATCACACCTCCTGGTCTTGTAATTAAGGGAATGAATGGACCAGGAGTTAATCATCTTCCCTTCCCTATCTCTGAGTTGCAGATGGTCATCCAGAAGCTGGTCCCAGCCATCCAGAAGCTGGTCCCAGCCAGCCAGAAGCTCCCAGCCATCCAGAAGCTGCTCCCAGCGATCCAGAAGCTCTCAGCCATCCAGATGCTGTTGGTGTTGAGGGCCCGCTTGCTGTTTGGAAGAAGGAATCATACTGGAAGACTTGGAAAAAGGAGCAGGACGCAAAGCAGGATTGGAAGAAGGACTGGAAGAAGGAGGACTGGCCTAAGGAGAGCTGGAAACAGGTCTGGAAGAAGGAGGGCTGGAAGAAGGAGGGCTGGAAGAAGGAGGACTGGCCGCAGGAAGATCCAGAAGATGCCGAGGCCCAAGAGTATTGGGGAGGAAATGCTTGGGAGAAGCATTATTTGCCAGATGCTTGGAAAAAGGAGAGGGGCTCGAAAGGCAAGAAGAGAAAGGCTTGGATCGAGGGCCAGATCATGAGCCTCAAGCAAGAGGGCAGGTGGGTTGGAGGCGAGCCATCTGCTTCCTCGAAGCAGCTTCGCCTCATGAGAGAGGACTGTTGGTTTTGTTCAATTTGCATGCTGGGTGGAGAGTGACTGAATAGCAGTGTGGCCTGTTGCAACTTGCAGACATGTTTTTTTTTTGCCTGCAGGAGAAAAGCGGTCCTTCCTATGCTTCTTTGCCAGCTGCTGTGGTGCAGCCCGAAGAGCCTGCACTG